AGCAACCACTCAGAACACCCTAGCAACCACCTGTGTTTTTGTGTATGTATCAAAATTGTAATAATTATGGTGGCTTGAGAAAGCCAACATATTGTTATACTACTTAAACTTCTATAACACCTTAGAAATGACCTGGGACACCTTAGCAACCACCTAGCAACGCTTTAGGAACCACTCAGAACACTCTAGCAAAAGCCTAACAACACCTTACAGCAACTTAGAACATCTTAGCAACACCTTAGCAACCACCTAGCAACACATTAGCAGCCACCTAGCAATGCCTTATAAACTGCCTATCAACCAATCAGAACACCCTAGTAACCACCTAGCAACACCTTAGCAACCACCTAGCTGCACCTTAGCAACTGCCTAGCAACACCTTAGAAACCACCGAGCAATGCCTTAGCAACCACCTAGCAACGCCTTAGCAACCGCCTAAACAGCTTAGAACACCTTAGCAACTACCCAGAATACCCTTGCAACCGGATAGCAACACTTTAGCAACCACCTAGCAATGCCTTAGCAAGCACTCGGAACACCCTAGCAACTAGCTAGCAACCACATAAAACACCCTAGCAATGCCTTAGCAACTGTTCAGAACACCCTAGCAATCACTCAGAGCACCTTAGCAACCACCTAACAACCTTAACAACCAGTCATACCCTAGCAACTGCCTAGAAACCATTCAGAACACCCAAACAATTGCTAGCAACACCTAAGCAACCACTCAGTCAGAACATACTAGCAACCACTCAAAATCCCCTATCAACAGCCTTGCAAGAAGCATGTCAATCCATACTAGAAACCTGCTAACATACAGTATATAGTCATGACTGTTTCAAACTTCTTAAAAACGACTTCAGTTATTTACGCTTTAAAACTACTTCAAGCTTTCAGGCTAGATCTTCTCAAGACAAACTTTACTTCTCTAGTTTAAATGACATTTTTACTTCCGATTAAAGTGTTATAGTTTAATTTTTTTTTTGTTCTAAAACGTTAATTCATTTGTTCTTTTCTTGAGACATGGCATATGAAAACTGCTTAGCCCAGTTTGCTGTGGGAATTAGGAAGAGAAGAGTGCTTCACTAGAGGAATGGATGTTGTCAGGAAGATCTATAAATCTCAATAGCATTTACAGTAATGGACCTCTGGCTCTGCCGTCAGCACAGGACTTAATCATGCTTGTGAACTCCAGACTTACTACAACTATCAGAACTAATCAAAACACATTTAGAGCATTTAATGTAGCTGTCCAACTTCCAAAATAACCTAAAAAAGCACAATAAAGGCATGCCATACTACTCGCACACGCACAAGTCTTTTAGAGCCTTTCAATAGCTTGGCATAAAGACCAGACCAAATCTCATTCACATCATTTGAATTTCCAAGTATTTAAATTAGGGAGATTGCAACTGCTTTTCTTTGGACATGCAGGATTTTAATATATGCAAATGGGATGATACCATTTTCAGTGTGTAGTTTATAGTTTATGTATAACAATGGAACAGAAGCAACATATTTGGTTTCCACAAGGAATGTTTATTTTTTTATAATCTTAGGAAATTTTTATGCAAGTGAATGTTAAATGTGCTTAAGGACCATGAGTGGCTTTTCCACTAGTTAGTTATTGGAACTCAGAACTAGCAACGGCATAACTTGTGGCTGAACTATCATACAATGCTTTGTTTGGGAAAAGAAAAATGCAGTGGTGACGAGTGTTTTGCAAAAACCATAGTTGCGTTGTCGCAGATCCATCATTTGAACCACATTAGTTATAACGTAAAACGTCCATAATGATACTCTAAACAGGACGTACTGTAGTAACAACTTCTTTAAAGAAAATCCCCATCATTTTTTGTGCAAATTATATTGTTTTACACTCACACGCGTTTAAAAAAAATCCAATATCAGTTTTTGTAAAAAGATGCACTCCCTTTCCTTATTAATTGAAATATATGTAAACGGCTCATATAGTACCAATATTTTCATTACAAATATTATTGAGAATATTACATATTCTATTTTTAAACATAAAACAACTTAGCTAACACTCTGATCTCATTTATAAATCACAAAAATCATTAGGGTAATGGGGGTAAATGTTCAGAAATCTTCTAACCAACATAGCCATGTCATCTACAGTACAGATACATTTCTTAATAAATAACCTACTATAAATCAAAATATGCTATATATTTTTGTTTTCACAAGCTTGGGAGACGTAGCATAAATTCCGTTTTTTAATAATAACTCACCTTTAGCTTTCGTCATGATCCATTGCTGCATTCAAAATAGCATAAATGTTGTCAAAGTGCACTGCTAAGGGAGCACAACTGTTAATATGACGATCGCTAAAACTGAACTGTAAAAATGCTTTTAAAGCAAAGTACACTGTAGAAAGATGAATTTAATGCTTTTTAAAAAATCATTCCAAGTTTAAATGTTGAAAAGTTTAAATAATTTGGGCATATGGGGGGCAAACTGGGAATAGAACACATCCATGAAATATGCCTCTAACTACAGGTCGAGAGGTGTAGTCTCAAACAAGTTTGCCGCGCAATTTGCAAATGTTCGTTGGAACGACGGATTTGGAAAATGCCAAATTAACTAACTATGTTTGTAACGATGAAACTTAAAACCTTAGTTGGCTAACGACGGAAACACACCCCAGGCCAGACCACAGAGGAGCTAATATAGTTTCCCCAAAAGGCAGTCCTATAACTTAAAGTCCGTGTGAAATCAAAATTGACAATGTTTATTTTGCTCATGCACATTGCTATTGGTTAGGTGAAGAGTTAAAGTTTTGGTAATCTTCAGTCAAATCTGACCATTTGCTTCCGCATTTAGAGTGGCGGTCCTTGACTGTTTATGTCAGTTTGATGGCTTTAGCCACAATATTTTTAACCACGCCCCCCTTAACGTTAGTATGACACAAGAGAATGATGTATCAAAAGGCCCTGGCCCCTACTCAATATTCAGTTTCAGTCGAAAGCACAACAACATACTAAACTAAAATTCTCAGCAGCCTCCGGTTCATACTGACTTTAATTTTTCCATTTCCTCCAGTGCAAACACACCAAAAAGCATCAATGCTTTGGAATGCTCTCCCTTACTCTGTATGAAATGCTTCCACGCTAGCTAGTTTTAAGAGGATGCTAAAAACTCATCTTTTTAAGACTGAATTTTTAGATTCTTGATTATTCTGTAGGGATGTAACAATATTGTAAATACCGCAATAGTAATTTTTTTCAATAATACCGTAGGCACATGACTCAATAAAACTATATTTCTGAGAAAAGTTTGCTTAGGTGAATTAAGCGAATGGGAGGTAGCGGGAACTACAATTACCATCAGCCTAGGCGTGGCCATGATCCTTTGCGGTCTGTTGTCAGATCCAGTAATGCGGAAATGGAGTGTGTTGCTAGTAGCGGGGGAAAAAAAGAGCTGAAAATGATCGAACCTAAAGCAGATTTTAAATCGGATGTGTGGAAGCATTTCGGTTTCTTTCTAAAAAGATACGAAAAAGGAGAAAAGGTGACAGACAAAGAAAAAAAAAAATATGCAGGCACTGCCAGACTGTGGTGAAATATAAGTCGGAGAATACGACTAAAAACAGTAATGGGGACTGCAGAACACAGCACACTTGTTAGATTAATGCTGACATTGGCTTGTACTGCAAAGAGATCTCTATCTCACTCATGGCTTGTCCTCTCAAGTGGTGGAAAGACAACGCAAAACGTTACCCACTACTGTCAACCTTGGCTAAATCATATCTCTCTGTCGCAGAAACCTCAGTCCCAAATGAGAGGGTTTTTTTTTCTGTTGCAGGGGACATGCCCAGCGATCCCAACTTTTGCCAGATTATAGTTATATGATAATTTTCCTTAAAAAACCCATCTCTATGTAAGTGAGTGAGTGATTAAATGTTGATGAGTTTTCAACAATGCTAAATTGAAATTTTGTTTTTTTTATATGGTTTAATAGTTTTTTGTTATTAAAATGTAAAAATTGAAGTTCCTGTTTCGAAACTTACAGATAGATGGCTAATTTGTATGTCATTGATATGTTCTGTACTAAGGTAAATAAACACTTTTGCCACTTTTTTCGAGTCTTTTCATTAGTTTTGTTTTTCCTGTAAATTTTCCAATAAATACCGTACCGTGCCATTCAAACCAAGGTATTATCGTACCGTGAAATTCTGATACCGTTACATCCCTATTATTCTGTGTTTATATTTTAGAACTTTTTTTATTGTATACTTGTGTTTTATTACATGTTTGATTTCTCTGTTATTGTAGCGCTTTGGGTCTTAGAAAAGCACATTATAAATAAAATGTATTATTATTATTATTATCAATAGTTGTAGGAACTATGAAAGAAAATTCTTCTGCCTATTCCCTAAAAACAAAAATTTGCAATCATGGTTTCATGAAGCTTATATTCATACTAATTCCACAAAAAGTTCTTATTAGTAGAAAAAGTTCTTTCCACAGCACACGACAAGTGTTCAGATCATCTCCGTATGCAGAAATTCGTATCTGATTTGAGCTGCGGATACGTAGAAATACTTGAACTCCTGCAACTAGACCATATATATATATATATATATATATATATATATATATATATATATATATATATATATATATATATATATATACATAATATTATAATAATATAATTTTTTAATGTTGTCTTTACAGTCCTTCCAAAATTTTAAGTGGTCTATGAGTTTCTAAGATTCATTCATTCATTCAACCATGGTGAATGCTCTGAGAATAAAGGCTCTTTTTGCACTACTTTATTTCAGACCCCGCGAGAATCAGCTTCTCTCCCATGGTGCATGACAAAACTGAAAACTCTGTGTGACTGCCACAATGGGGCGTTTTCCGCCAGTCGTGTACGAATGTCATGTGCAGTGGAAAGGCGGCTTTAGACTACATATTCTGCATACTAATAAAAAAATATCTTGATGTGTATGTGTATTTTTCTCTGTCCAGGCTCATCTACGAGCAGCAGATGTCAAAATCTTGAACCAGTTGCTAGCACTGCATGAGGGTATCGAGGCAGTGAAATGGCTTCTAGAAGAACGTGGCGCTCTCACCAGCCGCTGCAGCAGCCTGACCAGCAGCCAGTACAGCTTAGGGGAGGGTCCTGACACGTCCTGGAGAGGCAGCTGGAGCAGTCTGCAAGATCCCCATGACAAGCTGGACAACATTTCCATCGGCAGCTATCTGGACACATTAGCTGATGAACTGGATGAGTACTGCCCTTCCAGTGGGACTGAGTCAATACTCTGTGCCACTCCTATGGGGACTGGAGGAGGGGTCAGCAGTTCCACTGGATCTGGAAGCAGACCTCCTCAAGTCAAAACAGATGCCACTAAAGAAGAAGCTCAGGTTTGGAATAAAGCACCGTCTGAGACAGCGAGAGTTAACAAGACCAATGGAACCCTGGACAAAACAGCGACTCAATTGGTCAGCTCAGATTCGCCCAGAGCTTGTCTCGCTGAGAAGCTTGGGAAGAATCTGAGCCCTAAAGTCAAACCATACAAAAATGGCAAGGTTGAGCTGGAGAGCTGTAAAAAGAATGGCAAAGTTCAACTGGAGTACGATGCACACTGGCGTTGGGTTCAGTCGCAGGATGATGTAACGTTTTTGTGATAGCATACACGATTGCTCAGCCAAAGCTGGGAGATTGGGGTTTAAACACTGAGGTTTTGTTTGCCGACTTTCATCTTTGATTAATGTGAGGCCAGATTCTCAGGTCTCCTTTAAATAACAGAGGTTAAACGTTAACAACAGGAAAGAATAAGAAATGGAAAGAAGCTTAAACGTGTGAATTCAGAGTTTAAAAAGCCTGAATTAGTGGTTGTTAGATGTGTATGGACGCATGTTTTCTGTGTGCATTTCAGTTTTTTTTTTTTTGGCATTGATTGATTCAGCAAAGCTATTTATTAATTAGTCATTAATCCTTTATTGCATATTCAGTGCAAACATTTTATTTGAATTACAATGATGTAATTGCAAATTGGTGTGCTTGCAAATCAACTTTTTGTAGTATATTTACATTGGCATACAGAACTGCGGTACAGACCAATTAAAAAAAAAAACTTTGAATATCTTTTAGGGTGCTTTCACACTAGCACTTTTGGCCCGCACCCGGGTTCATTTAGCATCAGAGTATGATACGTTTAGCTAGTGTGAACGCGTCTTCTGAACTATACTCGAGTCCCGCCTTAAAGAGCTAGTCTGCGGTACGGTTCAAGCAAACTTTGGTCCTGTTCACTTCTGGTTTCAATGCAATCGTACCAAATAACGGAAGTGAACCGCCAACTGTACAACAAACCATCATTTTCATAACGTTCATTTGTGTGTGTGTATGTGTGTGTGTGTGTATCTGTGTATCAGATACTGTACCTTGGTGACAAGTGGGACTGAGCCATTTTATGGAAAGGTCTGTATGTGTGAACAGTAGTGATGGCTGACATAAACTGACGTTGCGACACAGTGTCGAGATCCCGAAGTGCAAGTGTTTCGAAACACTGCACCGAAGCATGATCTAAAACACCCAAGTCACGTGACTAAAGTGTTTCGAAAAAATGGTTACGTGACTAAAGTGATTCAAAGCACCGATCAGTTTAGATGTGTTTCGAGACCTGGCGAATGTGCATTTGACTGACAGGGTCAGAAAACTGTGCATCAAATGACTTTTGGGTTCAAATCCCGATTTGTACAAATACTCAGAAATCATGGTTTTATATATTTTAATCATATTTCTGTTTTATGGTGTAGTCTAGACAGGATACAGCTGCGGATACGCCATATATTTAGCATCATTTTTTGTTACACTGTAAAACAATAATTCATATTTTTACAGTACTGTGATGGTTGGGTTTAATTTAATGATTAATATTAATAATTCTTGTTAACATCTGGCCACAAGTGTGTCTGATCTAGCAACAACCCTGTTTTATGACCAAAACAAGACATATTTATTCACAGTGTTTATTTGGATGTCAGACTAATGTTGAAACAAAACGATACAAGAACAAGCATTTCAAACTGATATTAAAGCATTTCAAAATAGCTGTATCGACTTGGATTTGAACCCAGTTTCCCCACTTGGAAGTCGGAAACCTTAACCACTCCACTAAACCACTTGAAGGTATAATTCTACAAAATGGGGTCTAATAATTTGCTCAACTGTTCTGTGCCGAAGTTGTTTCAGTGCAATAAATAAAAAATGACCACTAGGTGTCCCCGTAGAGTGGGGTTTTGAAAAGTTTCGAAGCTTTGACACATTTGCTTCGACTGTTTCAGGGTTTCATGAAGCCTCGCGTTGCCCTCCACTAGTGAACGGGCCCTTTTTGAAAACACCGGTAAATTTGTTCTGGCTATTTTACAAAAAAAGAGAAGTTGTAACATTACCAGTAATTTGCCGCAATGTTACGCTGTGTGAACACAGAAGGAAAATTGCCAGAAAGAGCGCATTCACGTCTAGAACGCACTTGAGACGTCTAACTTTAGCCAATCAGAACACTCAGACGTATTCACGTCCACACAGTTTATAAAAATAAAAGCCTTTGAATATTTTTCCAGTCACATTTAGCTGCTAGATGTAAGTCAGATAACATTTCTATGTTTCTTCTTAATGCCAACTGTGTAAAAAACTATCGATAAAATGCTTATGATAGGCCGTTGTTTGCTCTGACGTGTGTATGTGAAGCAGCCGGTGAGCGTCAGCACACACACATATTATGTGCATCTCAACACGGGAATGTTATCCGCCATATGTTTTCATGGAAGTTGTTCACAATACTTATCCATCCACAGAGTTTGTAATGTAGTCAAATGTTTACAAATACAAGTGCAGCTGTTTAAATCTAATTTCTGGTTAATGATGTCAGACTTTATTGCCATTTTGAAATACATATGTGATTTATCTTTTTCAGAAACATTCTGTAACGTCCTTGCCTGTGTGAACAGTGCTTTTATGAATTAACTTGTAAAGTCGTTACGGAAATTTCCAGATATTTACTGGTATCACTGTGTGAAAGGGCCTAATGTCTGCTTGTCTCCTCCAAAAACAGCTTCTGCAGATATCACTTAATGTTCTGAACGTTTATATTTTTGCGGCAGATCGATGAAAGTCGCTTTCTGTATGTCCAAAACCAAAAGATTCATTCAAAAGTTCACACTTAGCTGATAATCAATAAAGCGTAATTGGCTTGCTGTCCCAGGAGAGCCCTGAGCTCATAATATCCTCGAGCCCAGGGCTTCCTTCCATTAGAAAGGCGAGAGGGGAGTTCGAGCTCTGGTAGGTCCCCTGCTTGTCGCCCTGTGAGAAGTGTGAACTAAGGTTGTCTTGGGTGATAATTTGGTTTAGTCGATTAGCTATGGTTTATGTTTTTGGACAGTGGGAGGAAACCGGGGAACCCAAGGTAAACCCACGCGAACACAGGGAGAACTTGGAAACTCCGCACAGAAACGCCAACCTCTCCGATAGGAAGTTGGATCAGTGATGTTCTTGCTGTGAGGCAACAGTGCTAGCCACTGGGCCACCGTGTCACCCTATCGGAAAAAAGCGGAGGAAGTAGGGGGAGAAGGGGGGAAGCTTCAAGACGAAGATAACTGGAGTGAAAAACTCTGGTTATTTATAATGCTTCCGTTATCATCCAATAGGGCAGATTACGGAGCTAATGAGGTGCCAGCCGTGTTTATCATAAGCACGTGATCCTCTCGAAATTAGTTTATAAATAAACCACATGTAAAAGCAGAATGACCATAATATGCGGACGTCTTTCCATTTTAGTGCTTTGCTTTTGTGTCCGTCACCTAGCAACAGCCGTTCACAACAGCAGCTCGATGACGCAATCATACCGGCGTTCAGAAGGAAAAAAAGACAGTGTGAACACAAGCCAACCAAGAAAGTGGCAAGGGGGAACAATCAAACTTGGGTACGGTCCAGGCAATTGAACCAAGTGTGAAAGCACCTTAAAGACAAAGCTACATTTTCAGTTGTCACATGATCCTTAAGAAATCATTCTAAAATTCTTGATTTGGCATGGAGATATTGTCAATGTAAAAAAAATAAGTTATTTCTAATTATTTTTTTTGGAAGCTATAATGTCACCGATGATTATTCTGATGCATGATTGTTTTTTTTTAAGTAAGTTGAACAAATGTACTTAATACTTTAACATGGACCAAAGTTTGTTTAGATATATACAACAGCTTGAAACCACAGCAGATGTATTTTTATTATAATGTAAGAGTGCATAGATATTTATGCCGTGACCGTTTTTGTGACCTTTCTGCTGATTACAATCCAGACAAAGTGAAGCGTAGCGTTTGCTCTTAAACCGAAGGGAATGTTTAAATCATGTCACATTTTACTACCAAAGTCTTAAATCTCCTCAGAGTATGTTTCTCAGAGTTAGCATCTAAAGGTCAAAGAACAAATCCATCTTGAATACCAAGCATGCTCCCATATGTTCCAATGTGACCCTGAATCCAGAATCAGCAACACCCTTGAGTTGCCTTTGACAATTAATTATACAATCAGAATGTCCTTTTTACATAAATATACAGTATATGATTGTTTATTTGAAAATTGCTTGTAGTTTACCCTATCTTTCTGTATGTCAAAATGCTAATGTAAACAGTCAGTAAAAATGCTGTATTTTAAGACTAATCAGGTAAACTGTGGGCTAGCTTTAAGTAGGATCCTGCTTTGGAGTACCAATTGGCGAAAACAGGAAATGAAGGATGTCATATGGCTTGTTCCACATTGCACAGATTCATCAGAGTAATAATGCTCATACAAACGCATGGGGACCAGTGGTTGTGCTGTGATCTTTGCTTTTGTGTCTTTTTCCTTGTTATTTAAACACTTAAGCACCCAAAGTGCACTTTTAATTTAATGTTGGCTAACATGTTAATCAAGTATCTATACAGTGTGTGGTGTAACTTCGACAGTGTCCGCACTGGTTATAATCCTGCATTGCCTATGTTTTGTATGCCAAAAGAACTGCATTGGTGTATTATTTTTTTGGAGCAATTGAAAGTACTATCAGTATTCAGTAATTTAACATACAGTGTTACGTAATAAAACATCATACTATATTTGTGCATTCTTCTTAATTGTTTTTTGTGCTAAAAAAAAGTACAAGCATGTTACTTAATTCAGATCTTTTCTTCTCACAAACACCCACTTTCTGTTAATACTGACTGTTTCTAAAAAGAAACCATATATATATATATATATATATATATATATATATATATATATATATATATATATATATATATATGAAATGTATAATAAGTCTTTTTTTTACAGTATAAAAACATTGCGCCTATGAAAAGTCGTAAGCCACACATACAGTTGCGTGTGTCACAGCTGTTTGTTTAGAGGCAGGGAAATGGAGACAAAATAAACTCTTGAATCAGTGCTGGATGATGGCAGGGATTGGTGAAGATATTGGATTTGCTGGGGATGATCAAAGAGATGGCATACGAGCACTAAAAAAATGACAAATGGATTGGTTGGAGAGAGATGAAATGAAAGGTATAAATGGAAACAGCAGTGTTTCTTATTCACATGTTGCCCAAGGTGAGATGAGATCAGAGGTAAATGAGTACCTACAGTGAACTTAGATCTACAGTGAAAAGGCTTTGCAGAAAAATTAGATTTGTAAAAAAAAATTCTTTTTAAATTTATTTGGCAGCATGTCGGGTACATTCATAAACCATATCTGTATAATCAAAATTATATATATATATATATATATATACATACACACACACACACACACACACACACACACACACACACACACACACACACACACACACACACACATATATATATATATATATATATATATATATATACATACATACATATGTTTTTATACACACACACACACATATATATATAAGTCCCTGTTTATTTTTTTGCCCCAACTTCTGTTTAATGAAGAGGGTTTTTTTTTTTCAACATATTTCTAAACAAAATAGTTTTAGTAACTCATTTCTAATAACTGATTAATTTTTTTATCTTTGCAATGATGACTAAATAATATTTGACTACATATTTTTCAAGACC